CTATGCCATTTCCTTCTCTGCAGACCTGTCCCTGACATGGTACCTTGGCTGCCTCTGTTATATTGCGATGAAGACCTATCTTTCATTTCCCTTACACTTTTTTTTAATACCAATATTCCTTTTCTATTTCATCTCACTTCCCCATCAAGATGGCTGCCTTCTCTTGTCTCCTGTTGAGCAGTTCTTTCCTCGATGCCCAAGAAGCCTGCTGCTGCATTCTCCTACTTCTAGGAAGCTACAAGCATTCTCAAGCAGTTTTCTTGACTAAGATTTCTCACAGTCAATTTCAAATTGTCATTCTCAAGCAAAAAAGTGTTTTTGAGTACGATTTTTGTGGCCAGCACTGTTTTGAAAACCGTGGGGAGGCTGAAAAGATTCTAATCTAATCTCTGCTCTCAGAGTTTATAATTCTAGTTCAGGAGACAAGGTGTAAACACAAAAAGCAAATGGAAAAATAATAAAGGTTAAAATTGAAGTCTAATTGGAACCAGGGAACTCCTGTTTGTCATGGACGTTATTTCCAGGTGGTGCCACGAGATTTCTCTCCACCTCCGTCCAGTTTTGCTGTTGGTTTTAGATTGCTGTTCTCTTCTATGTCTGAGGGTGAAGAGGCGCTTTTCTTGGTTTAGTTCACATTATCAACGCCTTCATTTCCAATTGCAGTTAATCTCCCTGTTTATTTCTTCTTTTGTTATTTAATGGGACTCTATGACTGAGGGATTCAGTCTGTAGGACAGACCTGCCACAAAAGAAAGATCGCGATGCGGTGCCTGGGCACTGGTATTTGCCAAGCAAAGGGTTTCCAGCCTCTCTTGGTATTACTATATGCTATGAGGACGAGTCATGCCAGGAAAGTGTAGTGATTTTGAATCACAATTGTCCTCTACTGAAAAATCCGGTTTAAGAACTGGCTCATACACTCTAGTTGAATGAAGGGCAAACATCCTATTAATGTGCCAACGTCTTGCTTCTGTGGTCATATGCAGGCAGCACAACTTCCCCCAGACTGGGGGCCAGAGCTGAGAGACACTGGAAATCCCCTGTGAGGGTGGCAAAGGATACAGGTAAGAAGGGGAAGAAAACTCTCCTGTTAAGTAACAGGGACAGAGGTATGGGCCAACCACTGTCCCTTCCGGAAACTCTAAATCAACTCTCATGCTCTTGTGGAGCTGGGAGAGTCAGAAGGGATCCTGGGCCACCAGTAGTCCCTACATTTGGGCTTAGAACCTACTTGCCATGAGGTGGAGAGGCTGCGCTGATCCAAGGCTCATGTATAGGGACAATCAGTCCCAAGCCCCTCTTTCGTGGACTTTGCCAACATGATGTCACAATACTGGAACCATCAGATGATAGAGTTACTTGATGTAAGAAGCAGGGAATGAAATGGCAGGCCAGGCTGGGTCCTGGTTGCTGAGGGCTATTAGAGAGGCGAGATTCTAAGAGGAAGTCAACTAGAAGTAGAGCTAGGAAATAGTAATGTAACGCTGTCCTGAGTAAACCCCTTGGTGCATCACTGTATTCCTCGGGCTGGTCAGTCCCCTCACAGATGGTCCACTTGGTGCTCTTGGTCACGAGAGGCAGTGGGAGCCAAGGTGGTGGGGATCAGGGATACTGCAGACCAGTTCCTAAAGTAAGGGCGGGACAGAAGACACCCCTATAAGCATCTCTGGGGCCTTATTTTGATGTCTGCTGTAGGAGCACTGGTGTGCAGTCATTTGTTTTCATATAAAAACATTTCCTCTATGTTCTCTGCCTTCAGCAGTTATGTGCATTTACTATCTGATAACTGAAGACTCTTCATGAATGCAAAAGGGGTAGGTCCTGGGTTACACTCCCCAGGACCATATATTCCTTTAATGATTGTAATTACAGTAACATTAAACAGATGCAGACTTTTTAAAAAACATGGGCTGGTCTCTCGACTTTTCACTTGATTTAAAAAGACTGATTTAGTGCTGGGAAAACCTCTTTTCAGAGGAAAGTTTTGTGCGAGTTTCATTAATCCTCTTGCTCTATGGCCACAAGGAAGACGGGGCTGCCAGTATTACCAGCCCATCTTGCGTGATTTAGATGGGTTTAAACCCAAAAGCGCATTTGTCACCTGGGTTGTCAGAACTCTCTGGTACTGGAGTTAAGTGAGCTCCGTACTGGAGGGCTTCACCACAACATCCTCATCCCTGCCTCCTCCCAACCCACGCCCCTCGCTGGAAACAGACCCAAACTCAAGGGTTCAAACCAGAACCAGGAACCATGCCAGTTCTAGAATAAGCAAGATGAGGCACTGTGTTCTTCCTAAGCCAGTGGTTCGTAAACTCGAGTGTGCTAAAGAATCACTTGGTAATTGGTTTACCCTGTAGAGTTTTGGGGATCCTACCTCAGAGGCTCTGGATCTCTGAACACTGTCTAGCCAGTGGTTTTCAAACCTGGTTGCTCGATGGAATCTGCAAAAGTGAACGCTCAGGCTCTACCTGGTCAAATGAGACTATCTGGGGAGACAGCTCCAGGCCTTGGTAGCTTTTACACGCTCCATGGGTCTTTTGAACATGGAGCCAGGGTTATGTGGCGCTCGTGTAAGCTATGAAGCCTCGGGTATAGACACAGCTGAGGGCTCTTGGGAATCTGCTGTTGGATGAGGCAGCTGTCATCCAGCTTGACACGCCTATCTTCAGACAGACAAGGTAGCCTTTTATGACACGTCTAACTGACTATACTAAAAACGCATGGCCTATACTAAAAACAACGCAGGAGAAGGAGAAGGAGCAGGAGAAGGTTTGCGAAATCCCTGGATTCCTATGCTAAAATTCGTGTGGATGTACACATGTTCATTTTTCCAGGGAGAGAGTCCTCAGCTGTCACTAGAGTCACTGTATTTTCTCCCCTGCTGCCTTGTTTTATTCATTCACTTCTTTTTATCCCCATGCCCTGCTCCTATTCTGCTCCCCCATGGAGACAACCATTCTTATGGTTAAAGCATGCCGAAGTATATCTTTTTGTTTGGCTGTCTTTGTTTGCTTTGCGTGCATATATTGATAATTTACATACATTGTGTGTATGTTCTTCAGTGCTATGCTATGAAGATCTGTCCTTGTTGGTGTGTGTACATTAATCCGTCGCTCCCACCTGCTGCACCGTCTCCACGGACGGCTTCCCCGATATTTCGCCTCTCCACTGCCCAAGGGATGGATGCCCAGGGGGTTGCCAACTCTCCTTGGCCGCAAACAGGGCTGCCGTGGACATCCACATATGTGCCCCTTCCGAACCCATGTGAGAACTTCTTGGGAGATATACCGGAAGTGAAATTGCTGGGCCACAAAGGCACATATACTTCTTTGGACTCAGAGGGGCTGGACTGGGCCCCACCACAGCTGCTCCCGCTACACTCCTGTCACCTTCACTGCATGCCTAAAGTGATCTAAGAGCCCGCACTCAAGCGTCAAAGCCATTGGCTAATAATCTAGGCGGGGCCCTCACTGCTGCTTGCCTTTCGTTCCTCCAGCTCTACCCTCTTCCCCACTCCCTGGGGCAGTTGTATTCAACCTTCATCACCATCCTCAAGTCTCTTCATCCACCTCAACTTTCACAGAGAAAATAGGTCATCTCGGATTTTCTCCCTCCTGCTAAATGTACCCGCATCAGCAGGTCTTGCTTTGTTTTTCTTTCCAGGCCTCCTTGCAGGCTCACTTCCCCCAAGCCTTTGCTTCCCTGAAGCCTTGCTGGGCCACTGTTTTCCCTTGTCTCTCCGTCTCTGTCTTGCCGCTGGCTTGCTTCTGTGGCCTGCAGTCTTGGCCAATTCTCCCCCACACTGAAACGAACTTCCCTTCTCCCTAAGCTACCCGCCTTTTTTTCTTAAATGTTTTCCATTTATCACAAACTTTTTGAACACACTGTTGGCTCTGTCTGCTCAGTTCTTTATCACTGGCCCCTTCACCCGCAGCACGCCAACCCATGGTCTTCTCGTTGCCACCTCCACGTGTGCTCTCCAGCTCCCCCTGTTTATTTCCTTAGCATCTGACCTCACGGACAGCAGCTTCTTCTTGGAGCCGGTTGCCCTCCTGGCTTCAGGACATCACACTCTCCTGTTCTCCCTCCTCTCTCTCAGCTTCTTCTCAGGCTCCGTCATGGCCTCCCATCCCCTCCCTTTCCTTTAAAGCTTCCCCTGGGGTCCTACCCTCTACGCCCTGCACTCCTACAGGTTTTCCTGAGAGAGCTTGTCCACTTCTTTGGCTTCCTTGAACTGTCGTTTATAAGCACATGACTCTCAATCCTGGATCTCATTTTAATTCAACAGATAGTTTTTGAAAAGTTACTGTGTGCTAAGATCCAGAGTCACATGTGACATATGAGAGTTCACAGTCTAGAACTCTCTCTCCTGCACTTTAGACCCATACATCTGGCAGCCTTTCTGTTCGCTACATTTTGAGGACATGCGTCTAATTCACGGATGAGCTGAAACAAATTATACACCTCTGAGTTTTTCCTAAAGGGTCCAGAATGCAGCCTTGCTTGACAACATGTCAGCAGACGATCCTGCTGGCTCTGCTTCTGGCCTGGAGAACACACTGGAGGCTTCTGGGTCACAAGAAGTGTGTATGTATACTTCCTTTGACTAAGAAATGCAGGACCACTCTCCAGAACAGCTGGAGGGCCTGGAGTGTTCTAAAGGTATAATCTAGTCCATAAATTCTTTTCCTGCCTTTGGAGCAGTAAGTTATCGATAGGGTCACAGGCTGATGGGAACATACAGAGACATGAGAATTGTACACTGAGTTAGTGCTGTCAGTAACAGACCCTGTCCTGATGCTCCTTACCCAACAGTACTGGGATGATAAGGCTCACATGTATGAAAGAGGCTGGACGTAATTCAAAGTAAGACTGAATAAATGTTAAGTCTTTCTTTTAGAAGTTACATTGGGCAGATTAGGGAGGATGGAGTAGCAAGTTTTCTCCCGGCTGGCCCGGCTAAGCCTTGGAGGACCAGCTGCTCTCCGAGTCAGTCTTACCTCTGTTTCAGAGTCTGTTTGTTGTCTTCGATGGTAACGATGTCAGCATGGTCCCTCTTGAAGATTTCAAAAGCCTCCTGGCGTCCTAATGACATTTCCTCTCTCATCCCTGTTTGGAGACACATGGAACGGGCCTCAGTCACGGCATCGGGATCTCATTAATTTCATTGTCACTTTAGTCAGACCACAAAGCAGCCCTGGCTCCAAGAGGCCCACAGCAGAGAGGCTCCTGACCAGACAGGTGGCCCCAGGCCCTTCCAGCGCTGCCCCCTGCAGGACTGTGCCTGCACATCCACGTGACTAGCTGGGGGTGGAGTTTGGAACGTCTCGTCAGAGGAAATGAAAACCAGAGCACCGAGCCCTGGACTGCCGAGAACATCTGCAAGGGCGCTTTCTGCCATCATTCGGTGCCACATTTCCCCCCGCTTCCCTGTTATGCCCCGTTTTGATTTTCTGTTAAATTTCACCCTGAATTTCCAGACATTTAGTTAAGAGAAGTATAATCCAGACTGAAAGATTTAGTATCTGGAAAAGTCTGCTGTTAGTCTCCATAGAACGACTCCTCCTCGTTTCCTGTGGCTTGTGAGGGGCTTCAGTTCTACGCAGGAGTTAGGTTCTCAATCTCAAGACCCGTGAGCAGACCATGGTGAAAGTCCCTAGTTGCTGTCTGACTTCAGCTTCCTCTATCACCGTCGGCGCCACAGCCCAACCCTCACTGCTGGGCTCCGCTCAGGCGCCAAGTTCTGAAACCCAGAGTCAGAAGGGCCAGGGTCCTCGGAGTAAGCAGGTGGCATTCCTGTGTCAAGGCTCTCCTCTTTGCAGCCTCCCAGGGTGGGGGTCAACGCAGCTGTGTGCCTGGGACTCCCCGGGCGAGAGCCCCATCACAGTGGATTTTGACTGAATCTGTGGAGTCATTTTTTATGCCCCTGCCCTTAGTTCCTTGTCCTATGTTTTCATCCAGTTAACTCCACTTATCTTTGAAGCCCTGGATGAGGGTTACCACCTCCGTGAAGCTATCCTCAAGGCCCAGACAGAACGAACCCTCCCTCCCCTGTGTACCTATCAATGCCTCTGTGACATGCACAGCCCAGCAGACACTGGCACTTCACACAACAATCCCTTCCAGTAAAATGCAAGTTTCTAGGAGGTAGAGATAAATTTTTTGTGAATCCCTAGTGTCACATTCAATGCCTGGCATTTAGAAGTTGCTCAACACCCTTCTACTAGATGGACCAGGTCAAGAATGAACCAGGGTGATGGTGAGCCTTGCTCTAATTGACGTAGGAACACAGTCCAGAACTGGAGGAGTTTACTGTGAGGCCCAGGGTTCCAGAGATGCATCCATATGGGCCACAGACCACATCTCCTCTTGCTTGGAAAAAACCCGCTGAGTCCCATCACCCAGCCTCAGGGTGAGGAACTGGACCAGCCCATCTGACACCAATTTAATGATTACTGTTGATAAAAATAGCACCATGAAGAATGTCTGAATGGTGAGGCACACAGAGACACCCCACCCTTTTCCAATCAGAAGCAAATGGGCCCGGCTCAGTTCTGTTTCCACATCTGCCCCGCACACTCCAGAACTGGGTGGGCCTGGGAACGGGTTTGTGCGAGACTCGGAAAGATGAGTGCTGATGCATGAGAGACTTTAGCCAGGGGGCACTTTTCATCTAGCAGAGCCCACCAGGAGCCAAGGGACTCATTCCATACCTCTTCCCGCCAAAGTTTGTGCCCAGTTCTAACAATGCATGCTTTTTTACTGCATGATAAAATAACAATAGAGGGTAGAGGGGTCGAGTCTCTCTGGAATAGAGTTGGGGAAGAGAGGAGCTCCACACAGACCACATTGGAGCCTGCCTCCCACAGAGGAGGCCATGAGAAGGCTTCCACCAACCAGTTGCAGCAGGGATGAGGGAAACAGGGTGGAGGGTTGCTCAAAAAGCTACAGTGAAAGAGAAGGTTCGTGCCCTTTTCTCTCCCAGGCTCTGCTTTCTTTTAGAGCCAACAGTCTGAACTGACAGCTGGGTGGAAAGGTCAGGCTGAGGTTTTTCAGTGCCCATGGCACTGGTACAGCAGTCTGTCCTGGAAGAACTTAGAATCAGCAGAAACCCCCCACCACGGGTATTCCCTGAAGTGTGAAGGGGCCTGGGCAATGGCAGCAGGAAGGACCTGAGGAGACAGAGGAGATAAGCCCAGGAAGGGAGTTTGGAACCATTTTGCAAAGAATCTTGAAGGTCTTGCTAAGAAATTTGGGACCAGGGCCATATCATATACTTGAATCACCAATCAAAGCCTTAAAATTTAGTAAAGTACACATTCTAGGGAGTGTGAATACACTGGGAGTATTGAATACTCTTGGTGATTTAAAAGGCACTTGGGGTCCTGCAGTGCCATGGGCTTATCGCCCAGAACATGGTGTCAATTTTCCTCCTGCTATCATGGAGAGAATATCCTGGAATTGGAGTTCTTGGATGGTGGTGACTCAGGTGAATGGACATTAGTGTGATGGCTACAATCCTGGCAGCTAGCATCCTGAGTGTCTGCTCAGGGAGGCCAAGGGGAGGTGGCTGATGATGCCCATAGTCTGAAGGCAAAGAGGCAAAGCAAGGCCTGGAAGCCTACTGAGATGTCATGGCGGCTGCATGGAGGTGAGGTCGAGAGTCTGCAAAGAAGGGCACACGGAAAGGACTCCATAGGCAGCTGTGGAGTGTGACCCCAGGCTCCCTCTCAGTCCTGCTCTTGACCACCTTCATTCTGCTTCTCCAGAGCCCATATGCAGCTCCTTTTAAACTGTACTAATATACCAGTTCTCATTCCAATGTGGGGTCACCTACAAAGTTAATGAACGTCTTCCATTTACTGAAGCCATGTCATCACTTCCTCTTCCCTCTCAGGATTTAGAAAGCAGCTTTCTCCTACGGCAAGCTCTTGCCCTAAGCACACATTGTACGCATTAGAAAGAGCAAGGACAGTGGAGCATGAGAGAGACCAAAATCTCACCTTGCAGATGGAGATAATCATCTATTTATTTATTCTCTCCACAAGTATCTTAGGCATTGTGCTAGGCATGCGACAGAGATCTAAGCTTGAAAAAGAGGATTAAAGCATTGATCCTTGCCCTTAAAGAATTCAACGTCTAGTAAGGGAGAAAGAAAAGGGAACCAACAATAACAACGGCAGTGGCTGCTCGCTGTCAGGGAGGCACCTGTCCAGGGCTGGGCAACATGGAGGAGGGGGGTCGGCTTTGCCAGGGAGTGTGGGGAGGATTCTGAAGGCTGAAGCAGCATTTGGGAGGTGGAGAAGAAGTGGAAGAAGATCCCAGGCGGAGGGGGCAGAGGAGGAGTGTGGATTAAAGAGGGCAACTTGATTGATATGAGCGGTTCTGCCAGCCAATAGGAATGACCTTTGGGTGACTGAAAAAATGAATTCCTACAGATTCTCCGCTAAGCACTGTACCACGTGCTTTCTTGCAGACTATTCAGTTAAACTTCTCCATGATCCCGGGTCGTAATTTCACTTTATGGTGGAGGAAACTGAGGCTCAGTTAAAGAGGTAACAATTGCCCAGGTTTTCAAGGACATCAGTTTTGCTCCAAGATCAGTTTTCCCAGGGAGAGTTTGCCTGACGGAGGGGCAGGCAGTGGGCCTCAGACAGATTCACCCACGAGACTGCACTGCACCTGTTAATATGTTCTATTTTTATTTCTAGAATTTGTAAGCTCTGTGAAGGCAGGGACTTATTTCCTGCAATACTTCTAGCACCTGGATAGTACCTGGCGTGAAGGAGGAACTCGGTCAAAGTCTTTTGAGGGGCAGGCCCCGTGGTGTACTGGTTAACCTTGGTCTACTCTGCTTCAGTGGCCCAGGGTTCGCAGGTTTGGATCCCAGGCTGGGACCTACACTGCTCGTCAGCCATGCTGTGGCAGCAACCCACATACAAAATAGAAGAAGACTGGCAACAGATGTTAGCTCAGGGCGAATCTTCCTTAGTAAACCCTGCCCCCCCAAAACAAAAATCCAACCCCCCAAAATGTCTTTTGAATGAATGAATGAGTGAATGTTTTAGATGCTTAATGATTTCCTTTTGGTATGGCATGCAGTGACGCTATGGGGGAACTGAGGCATGCGTCCATCACTCTTCCTCCCTCCAACAGGTTGCTCCCCTGGGGTGTGATTTTAGAAATTCAACACCATCTTCTCCCCACTCCACGTCCCCATGCTTCACAGCCCACCATTAAAGATGCATTCAACTCCAAGAAGCTTTTGTAAAAATGCAAATACTCTCGAAGGCATCACTATTTTAAGGCTAGCAAAGAAACACTCCATGATTTGTTGACAAGTAGCTAACAGGTCCTGCAAAGATGGGACACAAGATGGCATCTCAGGCTGGTGCCAGACTTGGGGAGATCTGAGCTTGAAAGGGGAGGTGTGATGGCAAGAGAGATGAGCTGTGTGTTCTTCCCCACTTTGTTTAGTCTGTCAGACCCAGATGCTCCTCGAAGCTAGGCTCTCAGGAGGTCTGACCGGCCACACTCCTCTCCAGCTCTTAGTTGTTTCCTTTTAGTCAATTTCAATCATGGGTCCCCAGCGCTGAATCCCGGAAAATACGGATGACTCAGAGAAGCCCGCTGGCCTGCTGAATCACAGGACTGTTTCAAACCTAAAGGAGAGCAACTAAAGTATCACAGGGCAGTATAAAATTTCAAACGAAACAAAGCAAAAAACAAAAAAAAAACCCAAAACCCAAAAGGAGAGGAATTTCTCAATCTCAGTCCCTAAAACACGACATTGCGACCCTGAGTTTGAAGTTGAATGGAAAACATTGACAGGTCCTCAAGGTGCAACCTCTTCTGGATTTCCACCCTATGAAAGAGCACTTAGGTAGAAGCCGCAGCCAACAACGTCCTCTCAAAATCAGCCTTGGAGTCGGGTTTCTGAAAATGTTGGGCCTCCAAAGATCCCAGGCAGTAGTCCCTCACCCATGGCTCGGTGCTCTCTTTTTTGCCATCCTGAAATTCAGTACCTTATTTGCTAAAGAATACAAATCAGTACTTTTGGAAGCCCTCCCTGCCCCCAACACAGGGCCCCATGGAAACCAAATGGAAAG